CTTTGTTTTAGTTCTTTTCTCAAAAACTTTGTACTATTCAGTAGTCCGCGCTCTCGTTACATCTCGAATAGACAATTACAATGCGCTGTAAACGGGGTTGCCTTTGAAGACTGTCCAGAAGCTCCAAATACTCCAACTGGTGGCATCCAGGTGCACAGGAAGCATACAACCCCCCTGTAACATCAGATCTACTGACTGCCAATTTGCTACCAGGGAACAATTCAAAGTGCTGGCTTTGGCCTATAAAGCCCTAAACGGTTCTGGTCCAACTTACTTATTCAAATGCACCTCCCTTTATGAGCCAACAAGAGCTTTAAGATTGGCTGGGGAGGCCCTGCTCTCAGTCCCACCCTCTTTGCAAGTGTGATTGGTGGGGATGGAAGACAGGGCCTTCTTAGTGATGGCCCCCATTAGTGACATCAGGCAGGCCCCATCCCTCCTGGTCTTTAGAAAAAAGCTTAAGACCTGGATTTGTACGCAGGCGTTTGGTGAATAGGATATTATGGAATTACATTTCAGCAGCCTAAATAATGACTATGGATGTTGGAAAATTGCTACAGATAAGTATGAAATCAAGACTAGGCACTTTATATGGTTTTTAATCTGTGTTATTGTCTATGTGTTTTAATTGCTCATATATTTTAACTGTTTTTATAATTTAATAGGGTGTATTTTATTATTATGCCCATGAAGCATTGAATTTTGTCGGAGTTTGTAAGTCACCTTGAATCCCTTGCAGGATGAGAAAGGTGGGGTAAAAATGAAGTAAATAAAAATGAGGTAAATATTCATTTCCGGGGGTATTTAGATAGAGGTGTCCTTTTTACCTTTTTATATATAAGTCATCACTCAACCACATATCTTCCCAATACTATTTCCTTTTCTAAAATGTACAGGATGACTCCATTTTTCCATGGAGTCAATAGCCACAGTTTCACTTACAAGATGGGGATCACAACCAGATACAGTGAAGACATCTGCCCTTGTGCTTTGCTACTCTGCTGCTGAGTATGCATGCCCATTGTCAAACACATCTAAAACAGTGGATGTGGCTCTTAATGAGTCATGCCGTATTATCATGGGGTGTCTGCATCCTACACCACTAAGGAATTACACTGTTTAGTCAGTATTGCAACACCTGACATCTGCCGGGAAGTAGCAACCAATAGTGAAAGGACCAAAGCAGTGACATCTCCGGCCCATCCACTGTTCAGATGTTAGCTAGCACACCAATGCCTTAAATCAAGAAATAGTTTTCTAAGATCTACACTCGCTGGAACACCCCAGCAAGTGAGAATCCAAAAGTGGCAGGCTAAAACTCAGAGCCTCAAGCCATGGCTGATACGAAATGAGAGACTCCCTCCTGGGCACACAGGAAACTGGGCGACTTAGAAGGCGCTGAACAGACTGTGCTCTGGCATCACAATATTCAGAGCCAACCTTAAGAAATGGGGCTACAAAGTGGAGTCACGACATGTGCATGTGAAGAACAGCAAACCACAGACCACCTATTACGATGAAGTCTGAGCCCCACCACATGCACAATGGAGGACTTTCTTATAGCAACACCAGAGACACTCCAACTAGCCAGCTACTGGTCAAAAGACATTTAATAGAAAGCCAAATTTTTTAACTTTGTTTTTTTTAAAATACAATACAACTATTTGGTTCACTCCTGATATAATAAATAAATAAACTTACAAGATGTGAATGACGGCAGACAGCCAACAAATAGCTGCTGTAGGTGATACTTCAGAGGAAGTAACTGAGCATTCCTTGCCTGTGAAAAACCTGTAAAGTTCATGAAGTTTCCATACATCAACGCGTGACTAGAAGGCACATGCACACACAATTTAAACCAGCTTCAGGCTCTCCTCTAACCGTCAGTAATAATTATGATATGCACTATGAGGCTGTCACTAGTTACTCTTTCTCAGGGGCAACATCTCAACCTGTAATATGAATATATACTGATGGAAAACAAGTGTATGATGAAGGACCACCAGTGAATATCAGGTGCTGTAGGCGTTATTTCAAAGGAAGAAACTGACCAAACCACCTCTGAGTATTGCTCGTTGAAAACAGCCCTTATGAAGAAATTAATATAGTTGCTGTAGGTCAACAGGAAACTTGAAAGCATATATGCATACCAGAAACTTCTATGAAAGAATTAATAAGGTTGCCATAAGTCAACAAACAACTTGAAGGTAAAGACATGCACCCCTTATGAAAGAATTCATGGGGTCAACATAAGTCAACAGGAGTCCTGACATCACCCACACATAAAAGAAGTCTGTATGAAATAATTAAGGGGGTGTCCATAAGTCAACAGGCAAATTGAAGGCATCCACATACAGACATGAAAACTCTATAAAATATTTCATATGGGAGGCTTCAAGGCATGTGAGCACACACACACACACACACACACACACACACAGAGGAAAACCCATGGGGTTGCCCTAAGTCAACAGGAGACATGAAGGTACACACACATGTAAGGAATCCTTATAAAGAATTCATGAGATCGCCCTAACTCAACAGAAACTCCTATGAGAAAAACTCACGGGGTTGTCGTAAGACAACAAGCAACTTGAAGACACATACACATGCAGGAGAAACCCAATGCAAGAATTTGTGGAGTTGCCTTAAGTCAACAGGGAACTTGAAGGCACCACCACAACCCATGTAAACCATATGAAAGGGTCAACAAAAGGCATAAAAGCACATTCCCACACACATGAAGCCGTTATGAAAGAACTCATGGGGGTTGCCATAAGTTGAGAGACTTGATATTCTGGGTTATATTGCCGTGTGGAAGGGCCCTAGGACTAGCAGCAATGGGTTCAAATTACAAAAAAAGGAGTCCACCTGAACATTACGAAGAACTTCCTGACCACACAAGCTGTTTGGCAGTGGAACTCTCTGCCTTGGAGTGTGGTGGAAACTCCTTTAGTGGAAACCTTTAAACAGGGGATGGATGGCCATCTATAAGGGGTGCTTTGATTGTGCTTTTCATGCCTGGCAGGGGGTTGGACAAGATGAGTGGTCTCTTCCAAGACTACTATTCTATTATTCTATAAGTAGGAACTTGAATACACTCACACAAACCATGAAACTCCCATGGAAGGATTCACTTGACAGAGGCTTGAAGCCACAGTCTCATAAAAGAAACCCCTATGAGAGAGAGCTCAGGAGACTTGGGCCCCTTCCACCCAGCTGAATAAAATCCCACATGTTCCTCTTTGAACTGAAATATATGGCAGTGTGGACTCAGATAACCCAGTTCAAAGCAGATCTTGTGGGATGTTCTGCCTTGATATTTGGATTATATGGCTGTGTGGAAGGGCCCTAGGACTTGGAACAATGTGTTCAAATTATAGGAAAGGAGATTCCACTTGAAGAACTTCCTGACCATGCAAGCTGTTCAACAGTGGAACTCTCCGATTCTTCCACATAACCCTATATCCCAGAATATCAAGGCAGGAAATCCCACAATATCTGCTTTGAACTGGGTTATCTGAGTCCACACTCAGATAATGCAGGATTTTCTGTCTTGATATTCTGGGATATAGTGGAAGGACTTTGAGTGTGGCGGCAGCTCCTTCTTTGGAGACTTAAATAAGCTGGATGTGCTTTGATTGTGCTTTTCCTGCAATGCAGGGGGCTGGACTGGGGCCCCTTCCACACAGCTGAATGAAATCCCACATTGTCTGCTTTGAACTGAAGTATATGGCAGTGTGGACTCAGGGCCCTTCCACACAGCCATGTAACCTGGAATATCAAGGCAGAAAATCGCACAATATCTGCTTTGAACAGGGTTATCTGAGGGCCCTTCCACACAACCCTATATTCCAGAATACCAAGGCAGAAAGTCGCACAATATCTGCTTTGAACTGGGTTATCTGAGTCCACACTCAGATAATGTGGGATTTTCTGCCTTCATATTCTGGGTTATAGAGCTGTGTGGAAAGGCCCTGAGTGTGGACTGAGGGCCCTTCCACACAGCCCTATATCCTAGAATACCAAGGCAGAAAATCCCACAATATCTGCTTTGAACTGGGTTATCCGAGTCCACACTCAGATGTGGGATTTTCTGCCTTGATATTCTGAGATATAGGCCTGTGTGGAAGGGTCTTTAGATAACCTAGTTCAAAGCAGATATTGTGGGATTTTCTGCCTTGATATTCTGAAATATAGGGCTGTGTCGAAGGGCCCTTAGGTAAACCAGTTCAAAGCAGATATTGTGGGATTTTCTGCTTTGATATTCTGGAATATAGGACTGTGTGGAAAGGCCCTGGGATACAGGGCTGTGTGGAAAGGACTGACGGCCCTTCAACATAGGTCTATATCCCAAAATATCAAGGCAGAAAAATCCCACAATATCTGTTTTGAACTGGGTTATCGGAGTCCAAACTCAAATAATGTGGGATTTCCTGCCTTCATCTTCTGGGTTATATGGCTGTGTGGAAGGGCCCAGAGTCCACTGCCATATATTCCAGTTGAAAGCAGATAATGTGGGATTTTATTCAGGGCCTTTCCGCACAACCCTATAACCCAGAATATCAAGGCAGAAAACCCCACAATATCACTTTTGAACTGAGTTATCGGAGGGCTCTTCCACACAGCCTTTTATCCCAGAATATCAAGGCAGAAAATCCCATAATATCTGCTTCGAACTGGGTTATCTGACTCCACACTGCCCTATATCCCAGTTCAAAGCAGATACTGTGGGGTTTGATTCAGCTGTGTCCACACACAGGGGAAGCCCACGCAAGAGTGGCCCAAGCGAGGCCCGAGGGCTGGGTTGGCTCTCTTTCAGGAGGGCTCTTTGGGGCAGAGCTGGAGGGCGCGAGGAGCCATTCTCCGGGCTGCCTGGGCGGGGAAGAGGGAAGAACCCGAAAGCTCTGTGTCCGCAGTGGCAGCCTGAGTGGAAAGAGCGGCGCCGGCGGGTCCCTTGCGAGGCAGCCTGGGGTCCCTCCCTCTTTCCTCCTTCTCTTGCCTCCTCCTCCTCCTCCGGGCTGGGCTCCTCCGCCCGCTCCCGCAGAGCATCCACTGAAGCGCAGGCCAGCAGCACCAGCAGCAGCAGCAGCACCTCGCTCGCCCACTCTGCTCCCGCCAAGGCTCGCCTCCGCTCCGGCCATGACCCACTTCAACAAGGGCCCCTCCTACGGGCTTTCGGCCGAGGTCAAGAATAAGGTAGGGCTGGGGGCGAGCTGCCCCCCCCCCCACACACACACACACTCTTTCTCTCTCCCTCTCTTTCCTTCCCGCTTTGTTTGCTGCTCGGGACGAGTTTTGCGCCCCTGAGGACGCGCGCGCGCCTGGCGCCTCTTCCCCTCCCGCCTCGCCAGGAGAGCCTTTGGGGCGGCTGTGTTTGCTTCGTTCTTTCTCTTGAGCCTCTATATCGAGCAAAAAGAGGGATACATACGAATACATTTCAACCCCCCCCCCCCACTTTTCCTTTGTACTTTCGACTGACAGAAACTCTCTGCAATCCTCCCCCCCCCCCCCCAGCTTCTCTCCTCATCTCCTTTTCCATTGTGTGGCTTCAATGGGATGTGTCCTGTAATAAGACGACACTGGCCCTTCCACACAGCTGTATCAAATCCCACATTATCTGCTTAGAACTGGGTTATATGGCAGTGTGGACTCAGGGCCCTTCCCACACAGCTGTATAAAATCCACCTTGGACTGGATTATATGGCCATGTGGACTCAGGGCCCTTCTACACAGCTGTATAAAGTCCACATTGAGCTGGATTATATGCCAGTGTGGACTCAGGGCTCTTCCACACAGCTATAGAAAATCCACCTTGAACTGGATTATGTGGCAGTGTGGACTCAGAGCCCTTCCACATAGCTGTATCTAACCCACATTGAGCTGGATTATGTGGCAGTGTGGACTCTGGGCCCTTCTACACAGCTGTATAAAATCCACCTTGAACTGGATTATATGGTAGTGGGCAAACAAAAATCAGAAAAACAATTACCATTCTACAAGGACACATGACAATGTTGAAACTTCCTAATTTAGACAAAAAGGCAAACTTCTGGGGATAAATGTTTCACAGATTTAGCAAGTTAAATGCGGTATGAAGAAAATTGGTAGAGGGGAGTTTTTCTCCATTGTAATATGAGACCAAGAAAAGGGGAGAAATGTCAAGAAGGGGGATGGATTGGTTATTGTAGACTGGCCCTTCCCACACAGCTGTATAAAATCCACATTGAGCTGGATTATATGGCTGTGTGGACTCAGGGCCCTTCCACACAGCCACATAACCCAGAATATCGAGGCAGACAATCCACAAGATCTGCGTTGAACTAGATTATCTGAGTCCACACTGCCAGATAATCCAGTTCAATGTGGATTTTGTACAGCTGTATGGAAGGGGCCTCAGATCACCCAGGTCAAAGCAGGTATTGTGGATTGTCTGCCTTGATATGCTGGGTTATGTGGCTGTGTGTGGAAGGGCCCTTTGTGTGTAGGAAGGGGAGCCTTTCCTTTCTTGTACAAGGTGACCCCTTGCCCTCCTTTCCCAAGGGAATGCCTGGCCCCTGTCAATTTATAGCAACCCCCTGGCTTTCCTTGGGTTTTTCTCATAAGCAAGGAAGACTCAATACCCTTCCACACAGCAGTATAGTAAAGAAAGTCAAGATAGATGATCTACAATATCTGAGTCCACACTGCCACATAATCCAGTTCAATGAGGATTTTATACAACTGTGTGGAAGGGTCCCCAGGGCTCTTCCACACAGTCATATAAACTCAGAATATCAAGGCAGATAACCCACAATATCTGAACTGGATTGTCTGAGTCCACACTGCCATATAATCCAGTTCAATGTGGATTTTATACACCTGTGTGGAAGAGGGCTCAGAGGTGGTTTTGCCAGTTCCTTCCTCTATGTAGATGAGTTTAAAAAGAAATCTCAGACAGGCACCCACAGCTCCCCCTCTCTTAGGGGGACCTATAACCACACAGCCATATAACCCAGAATATTAAGGCACAAAATCCCACAAATATCTGCTTTGAACTGGGTTATCTGAATCCATACTGACATATATTCATGTTCAAAGTAGAAAATGTGGGATTTTATTCAGCTGTGTGGAAGGGGCCTAAGTCAAAAGTATCAGCCCTACCAGTCCGCCCCCCCCCCCCCCCCCCCCAACTATCAACATGGACCTATATCAAAGAGGATAGAAAATAAAATAGAATGGGAGGGAAGAGGAGGGAGAATCGGTCCCATCCTTTGATGTTCCTTAAGACCCCAGCTCTTGGGATTATGGAGGCCTGGAAACATCACCGGGGCTTCTCCACACTTATCCCCCCCCCCCCCCCATTTCTTATTTCAGGAATGATGGAAGGAGAGCCTGCTTGCCTTTGGCGCTGAGGCGCGGCATTGGCTTGAGCCACATTCCTCTGGCTTTCAAGTCTTTTCTCTCTCCCTCTTTCTGGTTTCCAAAAGCTGCCTTTCGAAACAGGGAGAGAGACAGACGTCATTCCTCCCTTTAACTTTCTTCCCCTCCTCTTTGGGGTGGAAAATCAGTTTCTCCCAAAATAGGGGGAAAGAGAGCGTCTCCTCCCACCCTTTGCTTTCTTCCTCTCTTTCCCTTCAGCTGCAGATGCAGAGAGGAAAACCACCAGCTCCTCCTGGCAAATCACTGTGGGACGACTGAGGAAAAGGGAGGGGGCAAACAAAGAAAAAGCGGTGGCTTTTGTCCAGGAAGGTTGGCCTTTGCGATTGTGCCTTCTGTAGTTGTGTTGTGAAGGACGCATCTGGGGTGGCCTCAGGAGCAGGCAAGGAGAAGCAGGACTCCTGGGTTCCCCAGGAGTCCTTTCATTGCTGAATCCTGGTGCTCCTGCCGCCTCTGGGATCCACCCAAGATTCAGAGATGGCGGCAGCAGGGGGAGTGCGAGGTACTCCCAGCCTACGTGGCTCCAAGCTAGCAGGATAGTTGTGCTCAGGACCTGACTCTCTGCCTCCCTCTGTTCTTGCATTTCTTGCAGGCCCTCGGGGTGCTTTCACCTAATCATGGGGCTGAATGCAAAACTTGCTTTTCAAAACACAAAAAGTTGAGAGAAAGAGCGCGACACCTCTTGCCAACAACAACGAAATCAAAACCACCGATCCCCTCCATTTCTGTAGCTGAGGCTGTATCATTTTGCTATAAAAGCTCGCTCTGGAACTAAGGGTTGCCAGACTAAAACACCAACAGTCAAAGAAACGCTGTAGACATAATAGTGTGTTCTTGTGAGGAAAGGATAATTCTTGGGAAACATGTCTCCCCTTTTCCCAGCGTTATACTAGAGGTTTTTTTTTTATCATGTCAGGGGCGACTTGAGAAAGTGCAAGTCGCTTCTTGTGTGAGAGAATTGGCCGTCTGCAAGGACGTTGCCCGGATGTTTTTGATGTTTTATCATCCTTGTGGGAGGCTTCTCTCATGTCCCCGCATGGAGAGCTGGAGCTGACAGAAGGAGCTCATCCGCGTTCTCCCCAGATTCGAACCTGCGACCTGTCAGTCTTCAGTCCTGCCGGCACAACCCACTGCGCCACCGGGGACTCAAGTAGATGCCCTATGCACAACATTGTTACTTTGTTACTCTAGCCCAGGCATGGGCAAACTTCGGCCGTCCAGGTGTTTTGGACTTCAACTCCCACAATTCCTAACAGCCGGTAGACTGTTAGGAATTGTGGAAGTTGAAGTCCAAAACACCTGGACGGCTGAGGTTTGCCTATGCCTGTGTATATTTGATACTATCTCTTCACCTACGCATTTCCTGTCTACTTATGCATGCCGTCATATTTTTTCCAAGTGAGGTTGTGACAGGGAAATGGGGCAGGACCTTTGGGTGTGTTTTTAAAAAAATAAAATTATAGTTTTTCCACCCGAAACTGAAGTATGAAAAAAGGAGTGAAACTTGGCAACTGCTCCAAACCCATCATGTTAACTTATTGAACCCATTGGTCTGGGAAACAGATGAGAAATGCCACCTCTCTCCCCTCACTTTCCCCATTTCCAGCTCAAAGCCCCAGCACATTCCATCTAGATTACATCATGGGGTACTGGGGAGAGACCAGCCAATCTGTGTGGGCGTAGTACACAGAATGCTCATTGTCTCCACACTGCTGCTCTCAAGTCCAAAGTGGTGGGGAGGAAGGGGGGGGAAAGATACACACAAAGGAAGCTCCCGCAGTTCGGGCTTTCGTTTCCACTAGCTCCCCCAGGAAATAAAGTATTCCAATCCTCTCCCACTCTTCATCTAGGAAGCTTGCTTTGACGGGACTTCCCCTCTGCACTGAAACATATGTAACGTGTAATAGTAGCAAGGGGATATTGGATACACAGAAAAATAGAAAGTTCGCAATATTTGAATATTTCAACTTAGAGAAAACACAGAGCCTTTGGGATAGAAGAAATAGTCCTTTGTGTGTGCATTGCCCTTAATGCTCCATGTGGGTTTGCTTTACTTTTTCCGGATCTCACCTCAGTAACATTCAGTTTCCTTTTGAATAATCCCCAGTGATCCAAGATGACACCCGAAATATTGGAGCGTGTTTTTGTTGAATTTTATACTATATTTGTTTTTGTGATCCTTGCTTTTCTGTGTTTGTTGCGATTATACTGATCAGCACCAGAAATCAAGTTTACACTATTGAGCTGATCAATGATTTTTGGCTCAAAACTAAAGTCCTCAAATAGTATATGTAGAGACAAGTACTGTAGTTTGTTTTGTACCAGGTATGTAGCTGGGGGGCTGAAGCCCCTTAAGCCCCCCCCCCCAATTCTCATGGTGGTCCGTGAGAAGGCCTTACAGGTACATTATTTAAACTGTTTATTCATATCATGATCTGATCACCATACGCAATATATCCCATATGCATGGGGGTATTGGGGTAATGATACAAAAGGTTTGCTAGGGTAGACCCTCTTTCACTCAGACTCAGCCCCCCCCCGAATCAAACTCAGTTCCCCCCGAATCAAAATCCTGGATACGGGCCTGTTTTGTACATATATATCAAATTACTTGTAGGCTTTCTTACCAATTTATTTTATTTTCATTATTATTATTATTATTATTATTATTATTATTATTATTATTATTAAGAGGCACTTCAAGTGGCCAGCTACTGGTCAAAGAACATTTAATATAATGCCAAGTTTTTAAACTTTGTGCTTTTAAAATACATTACAAC